GGAGTCTGCTTGCAGTCCTTGGCCATATCCTGGCCACGTCCAGGCTGTTATGCTTTAAGATTTGAGCCAAGAGCGCTTTGCTTTTTGTCTTGGCTCTCAGCTCTCAGGTCTGTCTGCCTGTTTACCTTAAGCTGATTTGAAGTTTGTGTTGGCCGCGAGCAGTTCAGCTTGTTGTTCTGCGCCTCGTCCTGGCCCAGTTTGGGTGCTGGCAATTTAAATGAATGCAACATTGTTTTCACCTTTAGCTAAAATTTCAGCTACCTGAGCTTAAAGCCAGCGCTTAAGTCGCCAAAGCGCAAATTATCTATGAAAAACGTTGTGAAATGGGAGGCTGGGGGAGGCTGTGCTGTTTGGGGGGAACTTAACAGCTTTTGCGACAAAGCAAATTAATTGCTGCCCACTTTCAATTAACTTGCAGCAAGCGACCAAAAGCCACCCACTAAAAAACCAACTTGATCAAGCATTGTGTGTGCCTGTGTGCCTGTGTGGTTGTGAGTGTGTGCAACCGCAAGTGTCGACTGAAAGTTTTGTTGCATCAGCAGCTGTTGTTGCATTTGCTGTATGTGCGTCTGTTACAACGTAAAGCCAATTCAATTAATTTCAATGGCCATACATATGACACCTATGGACCAATGCACACAAGTGCAATGCCAGCTGGTTGCGGCCCAAAAAAGTAGGCAACACTTTTTATAAGCAATGCAAGCGCTCGATTAACATGGATAAAAATGAGGGGCCGCGGACTGCTGGTGCTGAGTTGTTATTGGGTTGGGTTGGACCTCGTTCGCACAACCTGTCACTAGTGCAGTTGCCAAAAGGTTGCTGACAATCGCAGAACAAAAAACCGCCTGACTGACAGCATTGAAAGCTCAGTTCATATGCGCAAAAGAGCCTATATGCGAGCAGCCATATATGCATGCCTTTATGTATTTGTGTATATAAGATATATATATTATAATATAGTCTCTATATATAAAACTGTTTTTCCAGACTGATTTCTTGATTGACTGACTGACTGACTGATGCACAGCCCAAAACGTGAAGACTAAATCTCTAGCTTCCACGGTAGAAATGAGATTCCGATTTGCTTCAAACTTAAATTCAAAAATATTTAAGAGAATTTATCACGGCCAAAGACGGGGTATACCCTCTGGTATCCTTTATGTCGATATTTCAACCCCCATAGCTCAGTGAAAACTCAACTGATTTTCTTAAGGCATTGCTTTTTGTTCATGGCTTGGCATCTAGATCAATTTGGCATCCAAGTCTGGCAACATTATTTTTTGTCAAAATTCATGTGAAGGTTAAAATTTTCCCCCTATAAGGCTGTCCTTTTTGTTTATGGTTTCGCCTCTAGATCAACTTGGTCAAATCCCCGCATAACTAGTATAAATCTCATCCGATATTCACGAGGCTTGCTTGGCCTGTTGATCAATTTTGCCTCTAGATAAATTTGCAAAGCTAATAAATCATTCTGTTTGTTACTTCTTATTCTCGCGATCGTGGATGCTGCGCTGTTTAAGTTGTTCAAACATAATACCTGCAAAATTAATATATATTTATATTACATTTAGTCTGCCACCTTTTGAATGAGGCCAATTATTGTTTATTTAACAAAGTTTTTAAACATGGGCAGCAGCCTCTCACATTCCAGCTGCAGGCTTAAGCGGACGCATCGTAATATTGTTTCAATATTTATGCCAATGTTTAACTGCGTAACGGCGGGGCATAAACAATCGCAAGGGGTGGCCAAAGCCAGCGATTTGCGGGCTGCGGGGTATTTACATACAGGCATGTAGGTGTTGCAAGCACGCGCGGCGGAAGTCACGTGACGTGTTGTGTGACACGTACGCGACAGCAGCTGCTGCGACCCGCGCCCCATACAATCTGCTGCTCATGCTCGTTGTTGTTGCTGCTGTAACTTTTCAATTTGGCCAAGACAAAGTGGGCGGAGGCGTGGGCGGAAGCGACAGAGGAAAAGTAGGCGGAGCTACAGCGACTGCAGCGCACTCAGCTTTAAGCAAATGCAAACTCGACTCATTAAAATAACTCCAAGCAGTTGTGTGATACATCCTGCCTACAACAACAACAACAACAACAACAGCAACAACAAAAACGGCGCACAGCTCGGCCCAGTTCCGGGTTAAATAATTTAATTTGGCTGCAAAATGGCCAACGGGCATAAGTAACGACCACGCGGCGTATGAGCAACGCGCAATTTTATTTAACGCCGCCTAGCCGGAAGCCAGGACCTCGTTTGGGTCGTGTAACAAGGTTCGCGGACTGCAAGGGGGCTTAGAGGGGTTCGCGGGGCGGGAGTACAGTTGGGGCACTGCTCCACTGTTGCAGGTGCAGGTGCTGGCGACGCATATTTCATGGCACTAATGTAGCCAGTCAGAAAATCACAATGCGCTGCTGCATTCCAGCAGCGGCACGGGGGGAGTTAGCGATGGGGCGTGGCAACATGCATGTGAACATTCAGCAGCAACGCTGGCAACGCGATGCGGCGCTGCCAACTTGTTAAAAACGAAAAAAAGCAACGGGAATATATGTAAACAACATTTTTTATTTAATAAGGTGAAAAGAAAACACTGCGAAAAAAAATATTTAAAATAAATAACAAAATTAAATCAGATTTGAGAAGGTACACAATAAGGTAAAAACTTACACAAAAACACATTATATAGCAGTAGGATAATGCAGAACACATTTAATGATAATGGAATATCTGTTAATAACATAATGGAATATCTGTTAATAATAATGGAATATCTGTTAATATAAATGGAATATAATGGAATATCTGTTGTTATTTGAATATACAGTTTATGACAGAAAAGAATTTAAGTAAAGTGTATCAAAGTTAACTGTATGATAACTTAAAAGATAGATAAATAGATAGATAGTGTAAATGTTGAAATAAAGTATGGATAAAATAAAAATAGGTTTTTAGTAGTTATAAATATTTATTTATATTTTAATGATATATCACAGGACATTTTAAATAGAAATTATAAATAAGGTAACAATTTTATGAATAGAAATATATATATTTTTATATTTTATGTTACATTTTTGCAGGCTCCTTCGGGCTCGGGTTTCTTAAAGTTTTGGTTCCTTGAAATCTACTAATTAAAAATCAAAATTTGGTATAAGGCATATTTATTTATTTAGTTCCAACTCATGTGAGCATATATTCAAGTAATGTTGCATTTCCTTTCTGATTGATCACCATTAAGCGCACTTTCATTTACTTTAACAGCTTACAGCTGCCTCTTGAACTTAACCAAATAGGTGTCAAAATCAAGATACCTTCAACAGGGGCGCATAAATAGCAACAACAAAAAAAAACCACAAGAAAATTTAAAAAAAAAAGGGGAAAAATGAAAAATTGTTCAGGAAACTTCATGGCGAATGTCAGCAAGTTTTTTGTGGCATGGGACTTAACTAGGATGGGCGTGGCAGCAACACCCTTCAGCGTGAAACTGCATGGCTGGCTGGGCATGAAAATGCCAGAGGGGCTGGCAAATGAGCAACAGAGGGAGGCGGGTGGGGGGTGGGGCGCAGTACCCTGCAGTTGGGCACCAAGCAGCATGTGTTGAAATGCAAAACTGGAATTTTTTACTTCGTTTTTTTTTGTGCGCTGACAAGCGTTGCTCATTAAATTTTATTTTATAATTACACACACCAGCACACACACTGGACGGCTTTAATGTGCTGGTTACCTCGTAATTGGGTTCCGAGCAACGCAGTTTTTCGTTGCCATATGTAGGAGAACCCACCCCCTCTTTCAGCCCAACCCTCCATCGATTCTGGTCGGGCTTAGAACATTTTTGTGGACTTTAGGAATTTGTGGGACAAAAACAACAATGTACAACAATAGGCATTTAAGCATTTGGTCAGTGGGTGATTAAAGTAAAGCGTTTCAAAGTTAATTGGCACTAAAACAACAGCAGCAACAACAACAACAAGGACGACAACAATAGTTAAGACCTGTTAGCCTTACGCTTGACTAAACAGCCAAGTGGCCAACAATCCCGAAAACCGATTTGATACGAACAACAACTAGCAACCGTTGTCAGGATGCCATTTAAGCAAAATGGGCCGCCGCACATTGGTTGAATTAATATAAATATTTAATCTTATTTTTGCATTGACTTGCTTATAAAATATTTTAAATCTCGATTATTATCACATTTAATAAAATACAAAAAATTCTAACATACCTAAATTGTTACTTTAATAACATTTATTTATTTTCTAAAAGTAAAATTTTTGGAAATTTTCTTCATATTTTTCATACAACCTTAATAATAATTTTTAAATAATAATAAAATAATACAATATTTTTTCCAAGATTTTCGTAGAACTCAAGAATTTTTCTTTTCTTTAGAAATGTATTCATGTATTCATACATTTTTCAAACGTAATATTCAGTTGTTTTTTCTTTAAAATTTTTCTCCTGAGTAAATTTCCAAATAAAAAATTGAATAGAACAAACAAACAAAATATTTTCAAGTATTCAAAAAATTGTATTTTATAAAAAATCCAAGAAAAAATATTTACACTTAAATTACCCAAATTCATGCTATTCATAGGCAATCCTAATATTTTAAACACATCAAAATTAGCTTGCAACCACTGTGCAGTGCCGTTTGGCCAATGCACTTGAACAATGTAATAGGCAAGAGCTGGCCATTTGGTAGTTGTTGCGGCTGTTATACCTCAAATTGGTATTATTTAAAAATGTCGATGGGTCACGCTGCTCGTCAATGTGCTGCAACCTGAATGTCCTGGCAGCCGGTTGGCCAGCGTGGACTAGTATCCGGCCTGGTCGTGTAATTGAAAATGGTTATTGGCAAGTTAATGGCCCATTCAACCAGGCAGCCAACGAAGCAAACTTGGCTTCTTAATTGACTATTTGTATGCTGAACCCAGAGTCTTAAGCGAACCGCTATTAACCCACTTGTACCCCAACCCCTGCCCCTCTGTTTCTATTGCAGATTATCCACGCGTGGAGGTGGGACCACAGAACCCGCTGCGCATCGAACGCGATCACATTGCCAAGCTGGATTGCCGCGTGGACGCCAAGCCGATGGTGTCGAATGTCCGCTGGTCACGCAATGGCCAATATGTAAGTGCCACGCCCAGTCATACGATCTATCGTGTGAGTCGCCACCATGCCGGCAAATATACATGCAGTGCGGACAACGGTCTAGGCAAGACCGGCGAGAAGGACATCATATTGGATGTGCTCTATGCGCCCATTGTGACCATCGAATCGAAGACCCACGAGGCCGAGGAGGGTGAAACGGTGCTGGTGCGTTGCAATGTTACCGCCAATCCGCCGCCGATTGCCATTGAGTGGCTGAAGGAAGGTGCTCCGGATTTTCGCTATGCCGGCGAACTGCTCACCCTGGTCTCGGTGCGGGCGGAGCATGCGGGCAATTATATTTGCCGTTCTGTGAATCTGATGCAGCCCTTCAACTCGAAACGCATTGAGGGCGTGGGCAACTCCACGGTGGCGCTGCTGGTGCGTCATCGTCCCGGCCAGGCATACATAACGCCCAATAAGCCAGTCGTGCATGTCGGCAACGGTGTGACGCTCAGCTGTTCGGCCAATCCGCCCGGCTGGCCGGTGCCGCAGTATCGCTGGTTCCGCGACATGGACGGCGAGCTGAGCAATACGCAAAAGATTTTGGCCCAGGGACCGCAATACTCCATACCGAAGGCCCATTTGGGCAGCGAGGGCCGCTATCATTGTCATGCCGTCAACGAGCTGGGCATTGGCAAAATGGCCACCATTGTCCTGGAGGTGCATCAGCCGCCGCAATTTCTGGCCAAGCTGCAGCAGCATATGACACGACGTGTGGGCGATGTCGACTATGCGGTCACGTGCAGCGCCAAGGCGAAGCCGACACCCCATATACGCTGGATCAAGGATGGTACCGAGATTCTGCCCGCTCGCAAGCTCTACGAGATACGCACCACGCCCACTGATGCCGGCGGGGGCGTTGTGACCGTGCAAAGTATTTTACGTTTCCGCGGCAAGGCGCGTCCCAATGGCAATCAGCTGCTGCCCGGCGATCGCGGTCTCTTCACCTGCCTCTACGAGAACGATGTGAACTCGGCGAACTCCTCGATGCATCTGCGCATCGAACACGAACCGATTGTCTTGCATCAGTACAACAAGGTGGCGTACGATGTGCGCGAGTCGGCGGAGGTGGTGTGCAAGGTGCAGGCATATCCCAAGCCGGAGTTTCAGTGGCAATTCGGCAGCAATCCCTCGCCCCTAACCATGTCCTCCGATGGTCACTATGAGATTAGCACACGCATGGAGAGCAATGACATCTATACATCCATTTTGCGTATTGCCCATCTGCAGCACTCGGATTACGGGGAATATACCTGCCGGGCTGTCAATCCACTAGACACCATACGCACCCAGATCCGACTACAGCCGAAGGGTGCGCCGGAGAAGCCCAACGCCTTGAAGGTGCTCGAGGTCGCACACAATTATGCGGTGCTCAGCTGGCAGCCCGGCTTCAATGGCGGCCTCATGAGCACCAAGTACTTGGTCAGCTATCGTCGCGTGGCCACGCCCCGTGAGCAACTGCTTTCGGAGTGCTCCGGGAATATGTATACGCCCAGCTATCAGGTGAGCAGCTCGGCCGCCCAGGTAGGCGCCCACGAATGGATCGAATTCAATTGCTTTCGCGAGAATCCCTGCAAGCTGGCGCCGCTGGACCAGCACCAGAGCTACATGTTCAAGGTCTATGCTTTGAATGCCAAGGGCACATCCGGCTATTCGAATGAGGTGCTGGCCACCACCAAGGTGAGCAAGATACCGCCGCCGCTGCACGTCAGCTACGATCCCAATTCCCATGTGCTGGGCATCAATGTGGCAGCCACTTGTCTATCTCTAATCGCTGTCGTCGAGTCTCTGGTTGCCCGCGACGCCACCGTGCCCATGTGGGAGATTGTCGAGACGCTGACGCTGCCGCCCTCGGGCAGTGAAACTACCTTCAAGGAGGCTGTCATCAATCATAAAGCGCGGACCGCACACTACACCACGGCTACCACGTCGGGACGCAGCTTGGGGCCAGGCAGCGGGCAGCTTGGCGAGGATCGCACCATGGCGCTGGCGGAGACAGCTGGCCCGGGTCCTGTGGTGCGCGTCAAACTGTGTCTGCTGGCCAATCATGAGCACTGTGGTGCCTATGCCAATGCGGAAAGTAAGTAACAATAAAAAATGAATCATTCAATTGAACTAGTTCCAAAGTCAACTGAACAAAACATAATAATCTTTGTATGTGTTGTAATAACTCAAGTAAACTAGTTTCATACAGAACTTAGAAACAATATCTTAAAGTATCACAATTCAGAACTAGTTCCATAGTCTTAAACGAAGGATAACTTCATCTGATATTCAGTAAATCCAAGTTACAGGCATAAGACTCACAACACACAATTCGGAACTAGTTCATTTATATTAAGATAGACATATCTCCATCTGGCTATTTTCAAGTTTGAGAGTGACAAATCGGAACTAGTTCATCAAACATAATAACCAGAGGAGAATATATAACCAAACACCATCAAATTGTATTAATATCTTAAAGTGCAACAATTTGAAACTAGCTCGCTTGTTTTAAAATAGCCCTTTCTCCACGAGACAAGCAATAAATCTTCAACTCTCGCTACTCTCTCTCTCTCTTTTATTGCAGTTGGCAAATCCTACATGCCGCACAGCTCGTCACTTACCACCTCCGTCCTGGTGGCCATCATCATAGCGGGGCTGTTCTTTGTGCTGCTGCTGGGTCTGCTCTACGCCTTCTGTCGCTGCCGGCGCACGCATGCGGCCAAGAAGCTGGCAGCGGCCGCTGCCACAACGACACCAAATGCCGCCAGCCAAGGCGCCAAGGAGTTCGATGTGGATGCATCACGCGGCTCGCTGGTGGTGTCCGCAACTGGAGACCCGCAGCAGTCGCAATCGGGTCTGCCGCCACCGCCGCCGCCCTACTATCCGACTGGCAGCCTGGACAGCAAGCAGCTGGATGGTGGCATGGAGCTAACACTAACGGCCCTCCACGATCCCGACGAGCAGCTAAACATGCAGCAGGGCGAGATGCACACACAGCAGCAGCAACAGCAGCAACAGTATCAGACGCAGCCCAAATGCCAGGCTCAGGCACTCTACCAGCAGCAGCCGCATCCGAATGGCTATGGATATCATGTGACAAGTGCCATTGGCATCGATGGCGACAGCTATCAAGTGCTGCCAACCGCCGCTGGACAGCATGGCGAGTGTAAGTAGGCGGCTAGGCGCAAAAAACACAGCTTAAGAGGGGAGGGGCTGGGCTGGGCTGGTATGTGGTGGAGCAGTGGGTGGCAGAGATGGGCGCGTGATTTAATTTCGGGGTCAGGCACGAGCAAGATTTTGAGCCTATAGATATCGAACGTTCAAATTATCGATGCGAATGAGCTGCAATAATCAGATATTGGGCCATGTTTGATATATTAGCTATTTCTCATATACTTTCTTTCACGTGCTTTTGCGAAAAATGAAATTCTAGGCATGCCATGGACCCGAAGATAAGGCACGGCCAATGCCCATCTCTAATGGATAACTCGGGCACTACAGCTTCTTCATTAAGTGTCGTATTTTTTGAGGGTATGCGCAGATTTATGGCGGCCATTTTGACGCCTCTGGTTGCTGCTGCCGCCAGTTCGAGCTGGCTTTTTCGGGGCGTAATTGCATTTCATGTCAATCTAGTGTCCATATACAGTAATCCCGCCCACCGACCCATCGCCACCCACTCCCCATCTACCACGCTTCATGCAAATTGTGTGTGCTGCATAAGCAGCTACAGCTGGAGGACAACGCAAATGCCTTGGCAACCAAATGACATCATCAGCCGGGCTATCCGTTTCGCTTGCCCACTGGGTCCTGCGTCCTGTGCGTCTCTTTGAGTGCGTGTATGTGTGTGCGTGTGCGTGTATCCTGTGTGTAGCATTTCGGCGTAATTCCAATTAAGTGAGAATTAAACCGTTAGCCGTTTCTTTTGTGCATCTCCTTCAGCTTCGAAAGTTTTTAATTGGCTTTAAGCCGTAACAGTCGCAGCATCCTTCACAATTGCAATTGCAGCTCATAAAATTGTTGCCAAAAGTCGTCCCTTTTTGTTATTTTACTTTTTTCTCGTGTTGCTCCCCTCAAGTGGCTGCCACTCGAAGTGCGCCTAACAAACACGAAGACAATTAAAAACTAAATGGCACCAGCACTTGGATTCACAGCAATCAAATTGGCTTAAAGCTGTGCCAAATGAAAATCTTTAAGATTAAAAGAACTCAGTTCTCGCATGAGAGCTACTAACTAGTCTATAAATTAAAAAAAAAAAAACTAAATGAAGCTATGGACATATAAAATGGAGGCAAAAAAAAACGGAGAAAAAGCTGAAAATAATCTGACAAAGAGCTGGGCATAAGACAGCATTGAGAGCGGGCAGCAAAGACAAAATTGGAGTCATTTGACAGCGTTCTTTTTTTTAGAAAAAATTAGAGAGCAACTAAATATTCTTAAGATAAAAGACAGCAATTAAGTTAGATGAAAAGCTTACCAAAAATAGTTCAGATTGAAGAGCTTTAAATATTTAAACTAACGATATTTTAATTTAAAGACTTTCAATGAGTTACATTCATTTTATATCAGTTGAACTTAGAGAAAATATAAATTAAAATGTTCTCAGTAGAGGTTTGGTCTGTTGGTGTGTCAAAAAGAAATGCGGATCGAGATCAAGGACAGGGACTACAGAAGTATCATCAATAACTTAATCATTAATCTAGTATCAACTTCCATCTTATATATATTAGTGTTGGTTAACGTTTCACAAGCTTATATTATGTCTTACATTTAGGACAGGAGTTACTCAAGTATTATAAATAAAATAATATTTATTTAATTAGCAATTTACAGCTTAGACGGATTAGTATTGGGTAACGTTCCACAAGCTGATCCCAAGTAAAAAGGTACATATCAAAATTACAAAACTTACATTTAGGTCAGGGGCTGCATCTAGCATCTAGCATCTATCTTAGATAGATAAGTGTTGGGTAACGTTCCACAAAGTCAAACAGTACTTATCAAAAGTAGCATAGCACATTTAAGACAGAGGTTAGAATAAGTTACAAGTTCTAGCTTAGATGAATTAGTGTTGGGTATTGTGATCATAAGTAAATATTTAAAGTAAAACAACGGCTCGGTAAACAGCAGTGTTGCAAAATTTTCTGTGCTTAACACAACCCAACACTTATTTTATTAATTAACTAAAATTTTGCAGAAAATAAGCATGTTTTAGATTGAATATATATTTAACTTGTTTTTCATGGCTTTATTAGCTGAAAAGTAAATGCAAGTTAACTGTCCAATTAAATATTTTTATACTTCAATAATTGCAATCAGCTTTAATTAAATGGTATACTATACCACATTTTTGCTTAAGCATATTTATAAATGTAGTTTCAAAAGTGTCATTCGAAAGGCTTTTCTAAGCAATCTAAATGCCAGAGAGCAGCAGCACATGAGTTTTGCAGCATACGAAGGTCACATTTCGAAATGTGCTTAAAAGCCTTAAACAGTTTTTAATTATATTCCAAGAGCATAATGCTCCTAACTGCTCCTAACTGGGCTAAATGTTTTTTGAATAAAAGCTGTGCAAAAATTGTTGTTGTTTTTTTTTCTGTTTTTTGTTTTAATTATTTTTGTTTTTATATTATAGTCAAGCAAAAAGCCCCCAGACAGACGTAATAGGGACGCGCCATGGCCAGAAAAATGTTTTGATAGTTTACAGAAACTGTTGAAAAAGTTTTTGCGCCTGACTGAAAGGCAACATGCCAGCTAAAAGGTGCGGCAGCTGCCACATCCCCACCCCAGCCCCTGCCAAACCCCGTGTTGCAGGCAAGTTTGACCAAAATATGTGCACCACAGAATGCAGTTTAATTGTGTGTGTGTGTGTGTGTGTGTGTGTGTGTGTGTGTGCGCGCGTGTGTGTGTCTGTGTGTGTTGTTGGCCTTTGGCTGCTTTGTTATAGTTGTTGTTGCTTTCATTAGGACCACGACGTTCATTTTGTGTGTGTGCGTTTTTTTTTTGACTCTGCACTTAAATGCGCGTCGCCAACGCCAACTTAATTACTATTTCTTTACACTGCCGCCTCCCTCTAACATTCGCGCTTCCTGCCAACCAACCGGAAACCCAACGAACTGGCGACACACATAACGTCGTATGATAAACGCCCATCCACCCACTCACACTCATACACACACACACACACACCTGCGCGTGTGCCTGGGCGTATTTGTGTGCGGTCCATGCGGTTGCAACCAAAGCAGGACCACTTGAGGCGACACCCGTTCCAGCCAACCTACAAGCAGCTGCAGCAGCAGCACGCGCCGCCAAGCTAACGAAGCAGCCCACCACCAGCAATACAACCACCACCCCCACCATCACAAGCAACTCCAGCAACTCCACCGGCAACAACAAAAACACGAGCAACAACTCCACCTTAAAGCGTGGCAGCCTTGGCCAGGTGAGGGGACAACAGCAACAGCAGCAGCAGCAGAAGCAGTTGCAGCAGGTGACCGCAGCCACGGCAGCCACCACCACAGCGCTTGCAACGACAATTACAACAACATCACGTAATGCCAAAACCGCAACAACAACAACAACGCTCGCCATCACAGGTAAAACACGGCCGAAGGAAATGATGCGGGATTATAGACTGTGGTGGGCGCCACCGCCAGCAACAGCACCAGCAACTGCACGGCACACTTGAACTTTGCACCACAAAATGCACACAAGACGCCAATAGCAAACTGTATAACAACTTGCACAATGCAAACTTGCCACCATGCCACTCGTAACGCACCTTCTCTAAATGCACCAATGCACCCATTGTTCCACATTCTCGACCTCTAATGCATATCTCATGTATCATTCACTTGCACTTTAATATGTTGTTAAATAATGTTAAGCAGAGGCAGGGAGATGCATATCAACGAAATATATCTGGGTAAATCAAGTAGGCTCAAGACTAGAGGGAAAATATAAGATACATCCGAAGATACATCCCCTGCAGACAGAAATACATACATACATACTAATTAAGTTATTATCGAAAGTAGTATTCAAGTGTGGAATATAGGTGGAAAAGCAGTTTTCTAAGCTCAACTCGAGAATATTAATTTCACATTGTCTCATGACAAATTAATCAAATAGCACAAATTTTGGAAAAACCGATCCAAGAGCGAAAATGCGTAGAAACAATCCACCTAGGTAAAAATTGCCTGATTTCACATTAATTTGCTTAAAAAACCCACCCACACAAGCGGAAAATGGGTGGAAAACTAAGTTCATATCCTTTAATGCACTTGACCCATGCAAATCTGGTTATTGGAATAATATAAATAGATGTATATAAGTTTTTTTATGTCACTTGACATACACCCAGACGGCTTGTGAGCTTTTCCTTAAGTGTCTTTCGGCTTGACAATTTTATAAGACGAAACAGAAAAGCAGAAAAAACACAACAAGACTGAAAAACAATTCGGTCATAGGAAAATTTTTAGAATCTAAATCTTAACTTTTTAGCCATAATTTTTACACGCCGTTTTTGTAATGTTCTTGCTTAAGTCGCCGGTCAATCGACTTAGGCTAATACCGCTTCGAAACACATACCAATGTAGCAATAGCTTCTTCAAGTGGACGGGCAAGATGCCCCAAGCTCCCAACCAACAGCAGCAGGTGCAGCAGGTGGCAAAGCCAACATCACGGGAAAAATCAATCGAGTCGAACGCACAAGCCCAGCAGCACAAGGAGGCTGCCATCAATGAGCCGAAACTGCCCAAGAACAAAGCCGTACCGCCGCCTAAGATCAATGTCAAGGATCAGCGCGATAAATGGCTGGCCAAGGTCTCGCCCAAAATGCAACGCAAAGCGAAGGGGAGCGCCGAAGCTGAGCCAGCCGGTGGCGGAAAATTTATACAGCAGCCGTCGCACATGCTGAACAATGAGGCCAATTCACAGCACTTTGGCATGCCCAAGCAGTTGCAGCAGCCAGCCTGGATGCAGCAGCAGCAGCAACAGGTGCAGAAGCATCAGCAGAAGCAGCAGCAGCAGTTAAAGAAACCCGCTGATGATGCGGGCGGCGGCTCGGCGGAGCGTAAATCCTGGATGAATCGCATGCACGGCTCACAGCAGACCAAGCAGGCGCAATGGCTGAAGGATATGCAAGCCAAGCAGCAGGCGGGACGCGATATGCAGCAGCAGAAAATGCAACAGATGAAACATACATCGCCCCAGCCCCAGTCCCAGTCGACACAGCTCGGCAAACCCACAGCAAAAGCTGGCACTGCAACAGCCACAACACTTGGAGCAGCTGATGCTGCCGAACCGCCCGTTGAGGAGCTACCCGAGCCCAAAACGCCCGAACGTCTGGCCTATCTGGAGGCCGTTAAGCAGCTGAACAGCTATCAGATACACGAACCGACTGCCGGACGGGCACAGTCGAAGTCGAGCAGAGGCAGTGACCAGGTTGATCCGAACATTGAGCATACGCTGCAGTGCCTCAAGCAGACGGGCTTCGAGGAGGGTCAGCTAGAGCGCATACCGGTCATCCAGGTGGCAGGCACCAAGGGTCGTGGATCCACCTGTCTACTGGTCGAGGCCATTTTGCGCGCTCATGGCGTCAAGACGGGCGTACTGTGTGCCCCGCATCTGTTTCTCACCAGCGAGCGGATACGCATCGACGGCGATCCGATGATGGAGACGGAATTCACGGCGCTGTTCGGACAGCTGCATCAGAAATTGGCCGCCATGCAGCCGCCGCCCAGCTACACGAAGCTGTTGACTGTGATGGCATTCCATGCGTTTCGCAATGCCGCCGTGGATGTGGCCATTGTGGAAGTCGGTAGCGGCTGTGCCAACGATTGCACCAATATAACATCCCATGCGCGTACCATTGGCATTAGCTCGCTGGGCTGGGAGCAGAACTTCAGCCTGAGCAATTCGATGCGCGACATTGCCTGGGCCAAGGCGGCCATCATGAAGCCCAAGGCGAGCGTCTACACCAGCGCCAGTCAAACGGAATGCTGTGAGGTGCTCAGCCAGCGTGCCAAGCAGGTGGGCATTCAGCTGCATCGCGTGCCCAGCTATCCTGCCTATATGGAGGCCAATGCGGGCAGCAAGAAGCTGCTAACCGGCGCCAATTTCAACGTCAAGCTAAATGGCTCGCTGGCCATCCAGCTGGCCTATGACTATCTGCGGCGCTACTATCCGGAGTATGTGGTGGGACTGGAGCACAATAGCGTGCTGTTAACGCCGGGCGCCACGCGTGGCCTGGAGATGTTCGAGCAGCGCGGCCAATTCGAGGTAATGAAGCATGATATTTTTAATGTCTATCTGGATAGTGCGGACACGCTGGAGAGCATGATGATGTGCCGGGAATGGTTCTATACGCGTACGCGCAGCAGTCGCTCACCAAAGATTTTGCTCTTCAGCAAGGTTAACGAGTTCAATGCCAAGGATCTGTTGACCATATTGCGGCATAATATGCGCTTTGAGGAGGCCTGTTTTGTGCCCAGTCCCAGTTACTTTGAGGGCGACTCCCTTGAGGAGCAGGAGGAGGGCCTGGATAAGGAGACAAAAGAAGCCATCAATTGGCATAGCATGGAGGAGCTACAGCGTGCCCGACGCAATGCCAGCAATTGGCGTTCGCTCTGCGAGGAAAACGGCACACGCGACAATTCTCACATGTCCATCTCGATAGCGGCCGTCTTTGAGCATCTGCGCGAAAAATATGGCAAACAGAGATATGGCATGCGCAACGAACTGGATGTCCTTGTGACCGGCTCTCGAGAGCTGGTGGCCGGTACCATTCAAGTGCTACAGAAGATGAAAGATAAAGAATTCGGCAAATGGCGCTAAAAAATATTTCCAACACAGATCTAAAAACTAGACCCCTAGCAGTCCTTTAAACAAGCATTGGTTATGCATTCCAGTTACTGTATTTATGTATATGTATACTTAAAATTCTAGTTATCGTTCCACTTGAGAAAAACCCCCACCCAAAAAAAAACCGCGTTTTAGTTATAGACAGGTTTTAAAATATATTAATTGTTTTATCTATTTTGTATGCCCTGCAATTAATGTTGTTTTTATGCTCAAGATAATATCAGGTTTAGTTTTCTGAAACTAATAAGAATATGCTCTGTAAGGTCATAGCAAAAGCCGTATTTATCTGCAATATTTATAACCAATTTATCCTCAGGATATATTATTGATCTTTAGAAAACGAATATTCAAGTTTTCATATTCGTTGAGCTTGTCATAAGAGATCTTACAAGGAAAAAACTGAAAAGTACTTTTTAAATTTTACAAGCTAAAGTCAAAATGTTAATGTTAAGTATTTAAAAAGTTTACGAAATGTGTGTCGAGTCGCTCAAGTTATTTAATCCAATTGGGTTGTCCATCAACTTCAGACTAAATTATGCAAACGTCGAGTACATCAAATGCAGATAGGGCCCCAATCCGAAACCGTAGCACAAGTCGTCGGAGGCGTTGGTCCAGTTGGACAGCTGCCAGCTGATGAGCATGACGTGGCGCCTTTTTGTGTTTCCAATTAGCCGTTGTGACTTTCATGTTTCCGCCTGGCCACAGCCAACGCACCGCACCTCAGCACACTTCTACCTTACTTCAACTGACGCACATGTTTTTAAATATAGCCGCATCAGCTGCCGCCCAATCCTTTGCTAATTTATGTATACCTTCCAGGGTCGAACAACGTGACCGCCAGCGGCAGCCAGGAGAATAACTACAGCAATGCACGCGATCTGTCACAGGAGGCGCTCTGGCGCCTCCAACTGGCCACGGCCCAAAGCCAACAAATCTATGTCGAACAGCGACCGCCATCCGCATTCAGCGGCTTGGTGGACTATGCCGGCTATCCGCACATAAACACGGTGACCAGTTCGCTCAGCCAGCAGAGCTTTGGACAGCAGCAGCCAGGGACAAGCCAGCAACAGCCGCTGGCACCGCACGAGATGCTGCAGGCGGCGCAACGCTATGGAACGCTGCGCAAGTCCAAGCAACCACCGCTGCCGCCGCAGCGCAAGGAGCAACAGCAACAGCAGCAGCAACAACAGCTAGGTGAGTGTTGCCAATTTAGCCTTTTTTCGTATATATAACCCAGAGACGCAAAGAGTCAAATTCGATTTCATCAAGCATATATTATTTTTAGCAGGACAAGGTGATGCGTTAATCTAGCTAAGTCCGTCTGTCTGGCAGTCTGTGTAAACGAGTCGATCTCTAAAATTCCCGAAACTAGAGACTTGACATTTGAAATATATATGTTTCTTAACCATAAGCAGACTCTGTATTTAGAGTAACTACCAGTCGCGCACACCCGCTTAGCGCACCCTTTTCTTTCTGGTGTGAACCAGTTGGCACCGCTGGCGAGTGTTGACCGTTTGTCTTTGGGTTTGGGTGCCAGATAAGCAGCTGAGATGAATGGGTCGGAAATCAGTTTGATTGATAATGCAACTAAGTGTGGCAAGTGGCAAGTGGTAGAGAAAGGGAGAGAGAGAGTGCTGGCAAGTGGATTGGGGGGGTTGGGGCACGCTTATAAATAAAATAGATTTGCATGAAGTTGGTAGCTTGGCAGCCACTAGGATGTGCACAATTTGCATCTGTATCCTTTTATGCATGAGCAGCAGGATTCAGACACAGCTTGCGAGCAAACACTAGAGACACACAAATACACACACACACACGCACACACGAAACACACATTTAAACAGATAAATGCACACAAAATAGTCAGCTCTTGCTCCTGTATCCTGTTAGACTCCTTCCTTTAGCCGAACCTCTCTGCGAACAAGAACAACAAATCGCTTGCAGCGACAACTATTGCAGCAGCAACGCCCCCTTCCGCCTCAGACTAAACAAACGCTGTTGCCCCTCCCTCTGGGAAGCACTGCTCCGCAGTGGCTCTTAAAGCGCTAACATGAAATAGGAGTACAAAAATGCAAACTGAAAATAAAACAAGAAGGTTGCGTAACAACAGATACCCTGTAACCTGCTATGAGCTGTTGTCATATAGGGAGGGTGGGAGAACAGTACATACACTCTCTGTTAAGAGCAACCACGCTTTCCTCACTTTATTGATTGTTCAATAACGTTTGTATTTAATGTTCGATTGGTATACAAACTATTTAAAAAACTATTAAATATCAAACCCAATTTGGCGTCTAATACTCTATTACTCTCCGAGATATGTCAAATATTCAGTTTTCAACACCTTTTGTTATCGATATTAGTATTTGTTATCGGAAGAACTTAAATGCATAATTTCAATATTTTTGCAAAAATGACTTCAAACTAATGCAAAAGAAGATATGCAAAAAAAAAAAAAACAGGGATCCTTAAATCAATAATTATCAATTATATGACATCGAGAGGAGTTTTGAAAATATAAAATAGTTGTTATGCAACTCTTCAGACAGACAGGCATGACTATATCGATAACACATTCGGCTGCAAAAATGTATAAAAAAAAAAATAATACAGAAAAGCTCGTCACCATTTGCCTGTTCCGTACATTTCCCCTTAGCAACGGGTACAGGGTATTTGAAAAAAAAAAACGCCGATAAAAAACGACAAAAAATGCCCAAAAACAAACTGCAACAGCAAACGAAAAATGTAAAATGCACGAGCACAAAATATTTTAGAAAATCAAAATCAAACAACGCTGCGAGCTATAAGTGAAGTGAATCACTGAACAGAATGCAACGCCACATGCCCCATAAAAAAAAAAAACAGCGGAAGAGAGAGAGGAAGAGTGAGAGACAGAGAGAGAGTCAGCATAGAACGGGAGAAAGGTAGTTGCAAGGCACCGGCAGACGGGCTGCCAGGCTGCAGAAACCTGACACAATGGGAAAAGCTGCGTGAAAAAACGGGTGAAAATCATTTGTTGTGTTCGCTAGCGGCTATTTCCATATTTACGACTCGATTTACGCTGATGATTCGTTTAGTTAGCACAGTCATCATTCACTTTTTATTATCAAGCAGCAGGTGAAGTCTATAAATTTTTGAGTGTTTTATAAAAATAAGTTAAAGATTTTCAAGTAAGGTTCGATTGTTAGGTTAGGGCAAGGTACATGAGAAATGCAACTGGTTAAGCTGAGATTTAAGCTTTAAGCTGGTTTAATAGTATGCCCATAAGGCTCGCAGAAGCTTTCCATGCTGTTTTCAAGAAGTAAGCTCATGTTCGGTCAGGTTGCAATTGGTTAAACTAAGCGTTAAGCTTTAAAATGGATTGATATATTGTTCTTAAAGCTTGCCAAGTTGTTTTTAGGAAGAAAGCCTAGATTAGGCTAAGTCGTCCCAAGAGAACGGCAACTAGTTAAACTGAGCTGTAAGCCTTAAGATGGATTAATATGTCATCAAATCTCCACCTAGCTTTCAAAGCTGTCTATAAGAAATGCAACTATGTTAGTTTGGGTCGTCACATAATAAATGCAACTGGTTGAACTGAGCTTTAAGCTCTAACTGGGATTGATATTGTGTTCTCAAAGCTCACCTGAGCTCTTAAAGCTGTTTTTTAAAAGTGGCTAAGATTTTACGGACAGACATCTTCCCGTATATGTAATGTGTAATTCATCTTTGCTCTACGTAAATTTTGAGCTCAGCTTTCTGCAGCACACGCAAGGCTTAGCATAATTTATAAATATTCATAAAAATTCTTGAACTTTTAGACAGATTCTCATCCGGTAAATATTTCAATTATCATAAACTAATTTTTGGCAACCATTTAAGGTAACTAACCACAATAGCTTGCAAATTTTTTGAAACTTTTACACAAACGAGCTTTAAAAGTACCGCAATAATTTTTGGTTTTTACCACTGCACGCCGCAGAGCTATGCAACTCCCTGAACAACAAAAAGAGTGTAAAAAACATTTTGATTGGGTTGATTATGTATGCGAACAAAAATACAAAACTGTCTGATATCCGATACCCTGTACAAAAAAAAAAATAAATACAAAACTAGAAAAAAGGCAACAGTCGATTCATGGAACTTAGACCTTAAAAGAGCTAGAGATCTGAAATTTGGTATAAAATAAACAGATAGATCACAAATAAAATGTTTAGAAAATATGATAAAAGTTCTGTTGTAGACCCATCGAACTCAGAGATTGAAAGATCTAGAGATCTAAAATTTTGTATGTGGGTTCTTCTTTTAAATGAGACTAAGCGAAATGCATCATATCTTTAAATCTTTCTTGAGTATAAGTATATTAAGCTAGGCACAGGCTATCTTTGAGTCGTGTATCCTACTGGCAAATTTTGAGGTTTTTTGAGGCTCCGCCACTAAATGCCGCTTCAATTAGATAGACAAAGGAGGCGGCAACGGGAGCAAAAGCAGCTGCTGGAGCTGTGGCTCAATTGTTTTGCTGCTGCTGCTGCTGCTGCTGTTGTTGGCCATTCATATTTACCATGCTCGTGCATTATGAACTGCTTCTAATCCGCTTAGCTGCCGTCGCCGCAGCAGTTGCAAAAGCATTTCAATTAAAACAAAGCAGTCAAAGTCGGAGAGCAGCTCCTGCTGATGCTACTGCTGCAGCGGCGGCCACAGACTGTGACCCATTTTGTTGATTTTCTTTTTTTGGCCACAAACAACAAAACGAAATCGAAGCAGGCAAAAGCATTGGGGCAATACGAACAAGAATATATATATATATGTACGCTCACTTCTTGGGTGCAATAAGAAAGCAAAGCTCAAACAGAAGGCAGCCAAACTCGAGAAATGATTGGCTCCGGCCGTCGAATCCTGGATGAAGAGGCACCAAGTCGCTGGCAATTCCAATACTTGTCTGCCTATTGCCTAACGCTACTGGAGAGTTGAGTAGAGTAGAGTAGAGGGGCAGTGAGCGGGGCCGAGAGAGCTGGAAGTTTGCCGGACTGGCTAACGAAAATCCCCTTTGACCAAATATTGCATACTTTCGGGAGTCCTTTCTTTAAGGAGCATACCCTTATTCTATTGTACAGCAAATAAAAGCCATATAACATAATGCTATTATAACATCTAAAGTAAATATTTAAAAGCTTGACATACGGGTTACTAAGTTGAATTACATTTTAATTTTGTAAACTTTAGAAAAATTACAAACAATTATTATTTCATTTGAAATTGTGAATTAACAAAACTGTTGAATTTCAAAGCTTATGCTTCAAATTGCAATAGCTTCTCTAACCTTGTTGAATTATTCAGGTATAGCGTATTTATTTTCTTAACTTCAACTCAAACGAGGAGCATCTTCTGGTCGAATACAGCCTGCTGCAGTATTCATGCTATGCAGTTTATTTTGCTCACTTGTATTTTCTTCGCTTTTTTGTGCTTATGCTTTTAGCATTCCAACGACCATGCGCCAACAATAACCAGAAAGAACCTCAAATAACAACAACAACAAAAGTAAGAACAACAATAAAAGTAAACTTGAGTTGCAAGTAGAAAAGTTGTTAGTCGGTGCGCATCATTTGGCGAAGCTTGGCGAAAATATTTCGCCATTGTTTGATGCAATTTGTTTGCCAGTCTGCTGGAGGAGTGGTAGGGGGAAGGCTGCTCTATTGGCGCTGGAAAGTATGCAATGCTTTTGAGCTCTCGATCTGTGCAATTCAATTGCCGCATTTGCGGCTGTTCATGAGGGTCGGGAGATGGGCTGGTTGGCTGGGTGGCTGGGTGGCGCTTCGCATACGGAACAATCAGAGGCAAATTTAATGCCAAACATTTAGCATCTCTCACTTCCTCTCTCTCCCTCTTTCTCTCGCTCTCGCTCTCCATTTTCTGTGTATTCGCCTTTGTTTGAGCGCATTCCGCGTTTCGCTTTGGTAAGAATTTTGTCTAGCTTTTCTTAAAGTTTACTTCACACAATTTTTGCTAGCTTTATATTTCTTATAAACTTGTTTGATTTTTAGAATAAGTAAGACAAAATTAAACAAAAATTGAAGAGAATTGAAAGATTATCTATTGTACGCAGCTAAAAAAACAGTTATAAAGTTTTACTTGGCAAAGATATATATCATTATGCTTCAATTCCTCCAGTTCCTCCAGTTCAGTTCAGTACCTCTTTCATATTGAGCTCATGTGAGGGATTTTCTCAATCCAGTTAACAAAGTATTCAATAATGTTTGTGTTAAAGCTTTAAAACTGACCTCAAGGCCAATTAAACGAGAATTGAACATCCATGCAACTATATTGGATTGAAATAAAATGTGAAGCACAGCACTAAAAAATTTTCATAAGAACCATTAAAAATAAACTTAAAGTTAAAATAACTGGGAAATTTCATGCAATGTTTTTTTCATAATTTTCAGACAGTCAGATTTATAGCTCTATTATTGATATAATAATGATAGATGCCTTATTCTATTTTGATATAATTTACGATCCAGTTAAAAATAAACCATAAATATACCGAATGTAATACCTTCGAGCTGTGTAGGGGGTATATCTTAGTCGAGCACATTAAGACAAAAACCTTGAATCAATTTTAGCAATACAAAATAACAATTCGAAGCATATTAACCGCATCAATTTCCCAGCTAACTACAAGAGGCAATATCAGCCACACAATGCAGAGCCGCACAACAGATCATTAAACATACAAGAGGGCAATAAATACACACACAGGCACACACACTCTCTCTCTCTCTCTCTCTCTCTCTCTCTCTCTCATGGCATAAGATATGCACATATAAAGAGCTACGCAGAGAGGTTGCCATTATTTATGCCGAGCAGGCAACAACTTTTGACAAATTTTTTGGCAAAACATTTTGCGTAATAAATTTATTTTAATTACAACGCCAAAAGTGGGCGCCTTTTATATGTGTGTGTTTGAGTATTTGAGGGCGTGGCACGCTGACGCTGCCGCTGTGTTTCGTAATGAATGCGCTTCAATTAAATGAAATATTCATAGGCATAAATACGAAAGAGCGAGGTAGCTGCGAGCTCAGCCCAGTGGCAGGCACGGGTCCCTCCAAAGCAGCCGCTGCTGCCTGAGGAACAGTCTGGCTGCAGCCTGTGGAGGCCTGCGAAATACCTGCGGCCAAGCATGTTTTATGTGCCAGCAGCTAGCCACGGTTGCGGCACGGGGGCACATTAGCCGACAACACACCTAGTACTGAAGGAAAAAATACAAGTGAGAAAATGCTTAAATATCGGGCAAAAAATTAAAACACTCTTCTTCCAAAAAGAGTTTTGGTCCTTAGTTGTGGGAAAAAGATACGTAGAAAAGTGATTCGAAATTTATTTTTAATTATTTGTATTTCAATGATAATTAAGAATAATAATATTATTATAAGTATTGTTATTATTACTGTAATTATTATAATTATTATTTTAACAATAACAATAACATTATCATTATCATTATCATTATCATTATCATTATCATTATCATTATCATTATCATTATCATTATCATTATCATTATCATTATCATTATCATTATCATTATCATTATCATTATCATTATCATTATCATTATCATATCAATATCATTATCATTATCATTATCATTATCATTATCATTATCATTATCATTATCATTATCATTATCATTATCATTATCATTATCATTATCATTATCATTATCATTATCATTATCATTATCATTATCATTATCATTATCATTATCATTATCATTATCATTATCATTATCATTATCATTATCATTATCATTATCATTATCATTATCATTATCATTATCATTATCATTATCATTATCATTATCATTATCATTATCATTATCATTATCATTATCATTATCATTATCATTATCATTATCATTATCATTATCATTATCATTATCATTATCATTATCATTATCATTATCATTATCATTATCATTATCATTATCATTATCATTATCATTATCATTATCATTATCATTATCATTATCATTATCATTATCATTATCATTATCATTATCATTATCATTATCATTATCATTATCATTATCATTATCATTATCATTATCATTATCATTATCATTATCATTATCATTATCATTATCATTATCATTATCATTATCATTATCATTATCATTATCATTATCATTATTATTTGTTTTGTTTTCTTCTTTAAAACTGCCCAAAATAAAATCAGTCGTCATTTTTGTAATCTTACCCTACGCTAGAACATGTTAAACGAAATATTTAAAATGTTACCAAATTCTGTTTAAAATAAGCTCCATATTTATTTGCTCTTTCGTAAAGCCTTCTCTATTTCATAGCTTTCACAACGTTTGCCGCAAATGTGCCCCATGCAAATAGAGTGACATAGCTATGCAACCCAATGTGGGATACGGTAACGAAACTAAACCCAAATTTTAAGCCATCAGCAGCCCATTGGAGCTCCTGTTTGGAGCTTGTTAATTATGGCAGAGCTAACTGCGCGCTGTCCGTTGGTTGGCAGCCGGGGAACTATGCGAGCCGGACAACGGTTCTATACATCATTCAAGCAATTTACCAATTTCGCTTTGTGTGCGCATGTCTGTGTGCGTGTGTTGCTGTTGACTGACCGCTCATAAAATGTTTATTAGGTAATGAAACATAACAACAAGCGCTGCACACACATAAATTTCAAACGAGCCCTTTGCACTTTGAGTCCTGTTTGGGGTCAGTCGCATTGTTTGCACTGCGCTTCACAAACACAAAATTGAAATTGTTAATTGAGTTTTTAAAGCGAAACTCTTTTCGGCTGAAACAATAAATCACGTTTCAAATAGAAACAAATGAATTGCAATGGCCTTTCAATTATCAGCAAGTCGAGAAGAGCTTGCTATTTTTTTTTTTTTAATATTTTTAAATTGTTTCGCTGGTTTTTTTCTTTGAGTGTTTTATTAGCGATTTTATTTATTTCATTTTAATTATGTTTTAAAATTTTGTCTGCCAAAAATATAAAAATTAAAACAGATAGTAAAAGGAAAAAGTTAGTTAAATGAACTATAATTGACAGTGTTGGTAAATATATTAAAATTAATGTGGAAATATAATATTAAATAATTTAAATTTTGAAAGGATTATTTTTTGTCATTTAAAATTTAATCAAACGGTTAAATTCAGTTTCTCGGATTGTTATAATATTCTTTAGTATGATATAGTTGTCTCACTTGAAGAGTTTGAGCTTTGTCAAGATATTTTGAGAAGCCGAAAAAGTAACTCGGCTGCCAAAACTGATCAAGAATACATACGGTTTATGGGCCCAGAGATGTCTTTTCTTATAAGCTACACATAATTGATTATATTGAAATTTCAAATATTCTTCATTTACGATATATATAAAGAACTGATCAATCGACAAAAGTCAAAATCCGTTGCTAAACGCATTTGGCAAACAAGTTCACGAGGCGTTCATAAATTTTCGATACTTGCGCATAAAAGTATGCTAGCATTTTTTAATATTGTGCGCGGCCATTGGCGCAACCGCATGCGACGATTTGAGCTTCCACTTGACTTGAAGTGCAGTAAGTGCGGCGGTAGGGGGTGGCAATTGTGGGCAGGTGTGGGGCGGGGCAACTGTCAGGTTGTGAAGTGTGCGTGGCAAATGCAGAAAATGTATTTATGCAAAAGTTGCAATTGTCAGCGCTGGTGCAAAGTGCAAAAGTATTGCGTGAAATCAGCGGGTTGCAGACACACACAAATACAGTCACACACACACACACACACACATAAGCAAATACAATGCACGTACATAAACACGTCAAGTTCATGCGGAGCTGTTCGTGATATTATTTCAATCAAAGTATGATTTTTACGTAAATAAAAAAAAAGCCTAACAAAAACGAATCTTCAGTTACTTTGAGCAAAGTTAACTAAAACTAAAACTTAAAACTTAGAAAATTAACTTATACATGCAAAACGCATATAGCTTAAGTTCAAAAAACAAAAACCGAATTTTGTGTTTCAATCAATTCAAATGCAATTTACTTTCTATATAACATCCAGAATATGGCCAAAATCCTTGCAGCACTTATTCCGTTTCCTTTTCATGTTGAGCTTTTAGAATTGAACAATATTTTCGTTTCAAACTTGCCAGCTTTTTACCAAACACAATGTAAAGTTGCAGGGCAAATCTTATGCTAAGCTTTCAAAAGAATTTGAATGAAATAAAAAACTCAACGCATAAACCCAAAAACCCACGCATTCTCACGAAGAGCACAAAACTTGACAAGACTTGACTTTTCAAATATCCAAACACACACATACACACACACACACACAGTCACACACACAGGAACCCATTCAAAACACTCACACACTTATACAGAGCGAGTTGTTGTTGGGAGAAGAGCTCAGCGCTAACCTGAGCTGAGTGTTTTGGCATTTGAATTGAGTTTTGCATTCCAGAACTGTCGCCGCGTGTTGATTATGTTTCGCTGCTTTTGTCACATAATACAGATAGATAGATATTTGGATGATGTATTGAATGCAATGCTCGCTCGACTCGTACTGCATTCATGCCCGATACGCGCTGATTGAACGCAAATGCATTTAGAGCGGCAATCCATTCAAATATACACAAAAAATAAATATTTTTATATATTTATTTTCATATATTTTATATTTGTATATACTCAAGTATTTATATTCAAATCGCGTGCTTAGCCGGCGCATTCAAAAACTTGCTGACCTATTTGCATGTGGAATAGGGTTACGCACATCTGTACGCACACTCACACATGTGTATACCCTTTATTATGGGAAGAGTGTTAGGGGGGTAATCGCTAAAGTTGATAAAGTGCATGCTGTCTCTGTATACTGTAGACTTTAATTTTGAATACCCAATTTTATATAAAATATTTAATATTTAACAGTTATGCTTAGAACTTTTGCGACAGGGTATTACATAGCTGTGCAGCCCGAGCTACTACTTATACACTTATTTAACGCCTAAATTAAGCAAATTAGTAGCGTTGCGACGTTAGCTGTGCGCATGAATTTAAAGCGTATTTTAATAGAGTTTTAATTAATTTAAATTTTGGCATTTTAACATTATTTATTAGTGAGCTTAACTGGCGCTAAACTCTATCGATTTACCCTATCCTCTTGCTCTATCTCATTGCAGCGGACATAATACAGGATTTAGCAAATTAAACTAATTGCCAGTTAAGAGACATAACAACAACAACAACCAAATGCAACCAGAAAATATGAAAATAAAATGAATATAAAAAGAAAAAAACGATTTAAAATTAACAACACGTTTTGACATTAGCATTAAGTAAGTAAAATTAGCGGAAACACATTAAATTCAACACAATTTAGTCGTTTAAGTGCCACTAAAAATAACAATTGCATACTTTTAGGTGTCTTCTATCTAAAAAAAAAAAAACACTTGAACAAAAACGATCAATTTAATGCAAATTTCGACCAAGAAGTAAAGCAAAATCCAAAACCTTAGATTAAGCACTGTACTAAGCACAGCTACAGGCATTTAGTAGGTATAATTTATGAAAAATACCGTAAAGAAAAATACACTTAAAAATACCACTAAATACTAAGCACTTTAGTTAAATTCGTAACTGTACCATACACACAGTGTTAAGTAGCATGCAAAAAATTAAGTATACGACATATATGTCTATTCAGCAGGCATTTGTTCGTTTTCTTGAGAGATGTTTAAAGAATTCAAAGTGACGTTTAACAGAATTTAATATATACATTGGCTGAACTTGCGCATAGTTTCTGGCAGTCTTATGGACAAGTTCTGACAGTAGAGCGAGAAGACAAATTTTTTTTGTACGAAATTTCTTTTTAATAACTAAGCTAAGTTACTTTTAGACGGATATTCATTTAATTCGACAATATCTACGATTCTTTATCTACAATACTTTCTTGTTTTTTCTGTTTTCATTAGATGCATTTTTTATCCAAAAGAATTGCTCTTAATATAAAATATTTAGAGATTATTTCATTAGATAATATTCACGGATATTTATGTTCAAATATTTCTTTCTTTTTCTATTTATATTAAATGAATATTTAACCATAAACTTAGATAATTTGCTGCAAACAATTTTGTATAGTTTTAAAGCTAGCTTAGATTTAATGGATGCGGTCAAAATTTCATATATGCAAAAATGTGTCGAATGTTGCCTTTTTAGAGGAACATCAATTATATAATTATATTAATTATACTAATTTCAGATCTGCCTAATACTTACATCATTTTTAAAAGAACATGTATTATGTATTTATGAAAGGAAATTCAGCCTTGTCCAAAACTAACCCACATCACGCTACACACTCTTTTCAAGTACAGCCAATAAAATAGATATACATGCAAGGGTATTTAATATTTGCAATAAGCCATTGGGTATCGTATTGAATTATGATCATTATCTGTATAAATATATACATGAACTTATTAATTATAAAATGTGGCCATATTGGGGCTATGCTTTGGCTGCATATTGAATGGGCGACAAATGCAAATGGCCAGAAAATTTTGGTTTAAAATCATTGTAAAACCAAAAGCCAAACACAAAAGCCACCTTTGAGGTTACAATTGCGCGAAAATCCAAACAAAAATTGTGCGGCCAACATGGAAAATTTAGCAAAAATTAAATAAACAGTTATTGCAGCCGCACACTCACACACACACAGACAAAATAAACACATATGCAGACTGCAACAAAATAGCATTTTAATTGCATTGACAACAATATATGCCACAAAAAAATGGTTCAACCCCGGCATATCGCAGCTTAAATACCCTTAGAAAATTGTAATTAAGTTTTATTTAAGGTCGCATTTAAGCAAAAGCTAAAGAAATATTTTGAAAGCTGCCTAATAACAAAATTAGAATAATTTTCTACTCAATTTTCTACTCATAATTTTATCAAATTCGATAAGTTTTCTCCACAGATGAAATTATCGACTAATTCAAGAGAATGAATTTAAGCACATCCAAATGCAAAGCTTTTGATAGAACTTTTTGTAATTTATCGATTACATCAACTATAGCAGTTATCGTTGAGGCTTAGGCGCTAGAGCTTCAAGTAAAGTCAAACGCCAAGATTTTCATAAAACTTTTTGTAAATTATCGATAACATGAACGATGACAGTTATCATTGAGCTTAAGGGGCTAGAGCTTCAAAGCCAAGCTGCTCATGAATTTTTTGTAATTTATCGATAACATAAGCTTTTGCAGCTATTGTTCAGTTTTATACGCCGGAGCTTTCACCAAGCTAGTCATGCCAGTCCATGCGCTTTGAAATACCACTTCATAACATGTTTCATAGATAAGAGCTTCAAGTTGAGCCGAAAGCAAAACTGTTCATAGAACTTCCGGTAAATGATCGATATGATAACCGATAGCAATTATGATTGAGCCTTAGGCGCTAGAGATTTTCATATAACTTCTTGAAATTTTCGATAACTTAGACGATAGCAGTTATCGTTGAGCCTGAGGCTAGCCATGTTAATCGATAAATGTATTTCTCTTCGGTTCCATGGACTCTGAATCGTAGGGTATGAAACTATCGAAACTTTTGAAACAGGCAAAGGCCACTCATTAGCCCGTGTTTTCGTGCCGACCAAATTGAAAGCGTGCAAAGTGTGAGGTGACGATGGTTGGTTTTTATTGACAAGAGAACAATGCTGGATAAAATGATCAACAACTAATTGCGCTGCTAATTTCAATTGTTGCATTGTCGTCGCTTACAATCACGAAAATTGTAATTACAAATTACAATTGAGTGCCCGTTTTCGCAAATTAGATTGTGCAAATGTTGTAAATTAATTTCAGCCCCGAATGCGTTGACAAAATCAAAGCGCAAATTTCAATTTATTTACCGCATTCTTCAGACTAATTGGCAAATTGCAAATATCACATAAATATAGGTCATCACAGCCAGCGATAGCCAGAGTCCAAACTATGTTTATTTAATATTTACAGCTGCCAAGAAAACTAAAATGAAAAACTAGCTGAATAGCTAAAAATAACAAGTTTAAACTAAATATGCAATTTTTATTAACATTATTATTATTTTTCTTTTTTTTTTGAGAGGTCGAAAACAAACCGCAAATATGAAAATGAAAATAACAAAATCTTTTGACAAGCCTGGAAACATAAACCAAAAAAGTAAAAATAAAATTTAAATATTAAGCTTCTCCGAAAATGCCAGAAACATATTATAATTTTCTGAAAAACTAAGTGCAACAGATAACAAATATATATATATAAATGTATAAGATAACCACAGATAACCGCATGCGTAAGCTGAGGCAAAAAAATGCTTTTAATGCCATTATATTTCTGCGAACAACCAAAAAAAAATCAAGTAAGAGGTTCTAGTCGGGAGCTCCCGACTAGGGGATACCCTGAACCCTCTTCTTCCAACATCAAATGCATATATATATTCTATTTTAGAAGCTATATGTCAAGATTGGTGACTCTAGCTCTTATTATTTCCCAAAATTGCCCAAAAAACAGGATATCGATATCGATTTTTATCGATTGCTTGGAAACGGAGTAAGATATCGATTATCGGAAACAAACTCGATCTGTGCAGGCACTAGGAGCACCTACAAAAATTTCAAGTCTCTAGCTCATATAGGTTCTGAGATCCTTGCGTTCATACATACGGACGGACGGACGGACGGATAGACAGACAGAAATGGCTAGATCGACTCGGCTATTGATGCTGATCAAGAATATATATACTTTATAGGGTCGGAGATGCATCCTTCTGCCTGTTACATACATTTGGATTTTGCACAAATACAATATACCCTTATACCCATTTTTAATGGGTTCAGGGCATAAAAATATACAAAATTTGTTGCACTAGCTCAAATTCGAAGCGGGGCCACAGCTTTTTATTTCTGCCCAAATTTCTGTTTATTTTTCGGAAAATTAGAAAGTTCTTCAAAACAAAACAAGTCTGTATAATGTTAACTAGCAGAACTTAAACTTCTACCCTGTAAATCTTCTTTAAGACTTTAATTTATTTGATATTCATTTATTCTATGCTCAGCTCTAAAAACTTTAAATCTCTTAAGCCCTAACCAATTATAAATATTTTTTCTCTTGCCAACCTTGTATACTCAATAGTCAAGGGCCCCCTTCCCCCTCATAAAGCCCACCTCTAGGCAAGCTAATCTTTTGCACGCATTGTTATAAACAAATTTTTTAAGCGCACTTTTCCATTCACTCAGCCAAAAGGGAAATACAATTTTCATTTCGTGTTCATGGCAACAAAATGGATTGTAAAAACACAAAACACAAACTAAATAAAGCACTTCTTTTTTTGGCACTGTTCGCATCAGTAATAGACGAGAAAAATAAAAAAGATGGGCTATATAAATGGTAAACTATTAAAAACTATGTGCAAAATATAAACTGAGAATGCGTTTGGTGCAAAAGTTGATCCAATTTGCTTTTGGCATATAAAAGAGAAACAAATATATAAAAAGAGATAAAAAACCATTTAAATTCCACCAAAGCATAATTGAGGCATTTATTTTGATATCTAACAGCTAAATGAAATACTCAAGCGAGTAAAAATAGATAAAATGAATGAAAAAAGAGCCAGTATAAGTAGAAATACCCTGTACCCAGCTCGAAAGTCAACTAAGCTATGCAAAATGTGTTTTTAAGGTTTTTAGTTCAAATAGTTAAGGATATATATATATATATACCAGAGAGTATATAAACCGAATTTCCTGGCTCTAACTCTTAGATCTTTAAGTTTAGATACGAACGTCGATGAATGCGGCATATTCATCTATCAGTTCATTATACACTCGCTTAGAATTCAAATGGGTACAGGGTATGCTCACAGAAAAAAAAAACCCTAGTCTAGTCTTAGATTTCCCAAAATATATTAAACATAGCTAAATAATTGCAGTTAATTATAAATGATTTAAACAGTATTTTTAAATATTTATGCATAGCATGCATAGAAAAGAAAAGCATCTAAAATATTTATGCAATTCCACAAAATTTGAATTTAGTAAATTATTGTAAGTGCTTTGTGTACATAAAATATTGACATAATTACTTAAAATAAATTAAAACTATTGTAGTTTGTGCAAAATATATACAACATCTAATTGATTAATTCATGTAAATACACACAAATGAAAAACGCCAATTAAAACACACAAAACGGGAAAAATGTAGTGTAGTAA